GATGTTGTGTACCGTGACTTTAGCAAAGCTTTAACATAAGAACATAAGAACAAAGGTAACTGCAGAAGGCCTATTGGCCCATACGAGGCAGCTCCTATTTATAACCACTAAATCCCACTCATTTACATGTCCAACCCACGCTTGAAACAATCGAGGGACCCCACCTCCACCACGTTACGCGGCAATTGGTTGATACAGTGCCACATGAAAGACTGATTAAAAAGATAGAGTCTCATGGTATTCGGGGCTGCTATATTAAGCTGGATTAGGGCATGGCTATACCAAAGAAAACAGAGAGTTAGTGTAAATGGGGTTAAGTCAGATTGGGAAAATGTTGTAAGTGGAGTGCCTCAAGGCTCTGTCCTGGGACATCTGTTGTTTATAATATATATAAATGATTCAGATTCAGGTTTGAGAAGCAACATTTGCAAATTTGCAGATGATACAAAAATGGGTAGGGAAATTAACATGGAAGAAGACTCACTATCACTTCACGTTGATATAAATAGGGTTTTGAAATGGCCAAAGGATTGGCAGATGTAGTTTAATCCTGATAAATGTAAAGTTTTCAGGCTACGTAATGATGATAGAGTTACAAGATACGAGCTAGATGGCGTTGCTAACTAACTAACGCTTCGATTTATAAATCCCAGTGTCCTATTTGCCTTATTACGAACATTTATGCATTGATTTTTTGGTTTAAAATTCTTACTAATCATAACTACCAGATCCCTTTTGCAATCTGACTTCGCAATCTCAACACCATCTAGCTCGTATCATGTAACTCTATCATCATTGCCTAGCCTCAAAACCTTACCTATGTCAGCATTTGTATAAAATTCAGTGTTTCTTTATGCACATTGACTTATGGAACTTTAATTTTATTGTTTATTTATATGGTAACTTCATATTTTACAATTTTAACTTTGTGTTGATTATTGCAGGGAGTTTCCTTGCGAGAGAAGGAAAAACGAGAAAATATTACATGAACCTTCCTCCCTCCCAGCAGGTGCTGTGTCAGCAGTCTCTGTCTGGCAGCGGAGGTGAGCACTTGTCCTCCCAAACACTGCCTCCAGGAGTCACCACTCCATTATCCTGTCTTAAGTTTAATTATAGACTCAAACGTGGCAATGAGGGATATTATTAGTACAGAAGTTTGGCCACTCAAAATGTGAATAATTGACAATAGCTTAAAATTTTTGTAAGTGGAAACTCGTCATAATTTCAAGGAATATCCTGAAAGTATTGTTTAGTTCACGTGGAAAAACTTACATTGTAAAAATAAAGGGAAGATAAAAGTGTATATTCAGGGGAAGATGAGCTCAACTCCTGTGGTGAAAATGTGTTGGTTCTTGACGTTGGTCCTGATCACTTTCACCTGTTACCATGTGGTGAGTGACCTAGTTGTGCTTGCGGGGGTTGAGCTCTGGCTCTTTGGGCCCGCCTCTTAACTGGCAATCAATCAACTGATTTTTTGTTCACACACACATACAACCACACACCCAGGAAGCAGCCTGTAGCAGCTGTCTAACTCCCAGGTACCAATTTACTGTTAGGTGAACAGGTGCATCAGGGTGAAAGAAACTTAGCCCATTTGTTTCCGCCTCCGCCGGGAATTGATCCCGGACCTTAGGACTACGAACACCGAGCGCTATCCACTCAGCCATCAGAAGTGGTAGAAACCTCTACCACTTCCTGTGGTTGAGGTGATCAGGCTTCATCTCCTGGACCCCGGTCCTTTTAGAAATGTCTCACAATGCACTCGTGTCAAACCCTTATTGAAAGCTGTACCTGGAGTTAGGCACCGGTGTGGTCAGTAAATGGAAGGGTGATCTAAGGTACAATGCTCATCCTTGACAAAGGGTGATCTAAGGTACAAAGCTCATCCTTGACAAAGGGTGATCTAAGGTACAATGCTCATCCTTGACAAAGGGTGATCTAAGGTACAATGCTCATCCTTGACAAAGGGTGATCTAAGGTACAATGCTCATCCTTGACAAAGGGTGATCTAAGGTACAATGCTCATTCCTGACAAAGGGTGACCTAAGGTACAAAGCTCATCCTTGACAAAGGGTGATCTAAGGTACAATGCTCATCCTTGACAAAGGGTGATCTAAGGTACAATGCTCATTCCTGACAAAGGGTGACCTAAGGTACAATGCTCATCCTTGACGAAGGGAGCCTTGCTATAGTGTATATAATGAATGATATAGGGTGAGAGAACTCAATAGGAAGTTAGAAACACAAATAAGGCAGAGACAGACGGAGTAAGTGACGCTGACATGTAGTGTGAGTGGCCAGCAAGTGGTAGAAACGTCTACCACTACTAAGCAGCATAAGTGGTAGAAGCCGTCACCTTCTACAATATCAAAAGTATAATATGACAATTGAACTTCCACAGATGTTGAAGCACCAAGCACTATTAGGTCAGAGGCGGGGGTCCTAGAGGTAAATTGCCCTTCCTTGCCAGACATAGATTGTTCAGTAGTGACAAGAGAGTTCCATCATCCTCTCACTAAAACCCAGAGCTGGGAACATTAGTGAAATACCGCCCATGGTATACAAGGGTGCCTCCCATGCCCTTGCCCCACCCATAGCTCTGTTGTTCAACAAATACCTAGAGTGGCATACCTTCCCTGATATCCTTAAAAAAAGCAAGAGTAACGCCAGTTCATAAAGGAGGCAATCCGGTAGACATAAACAATTACAGACCAATATCAAATCTACCTACATTATAAAAAATATTTTAAAAAATTATTTACAAACAGCTCTACTCCTACCTCGTAAAATTCGACATACTCAGCCTGTCAGTTTGGCTTCCGCTCCCAAAAGAATACCAACGATGCAATTATTAGTCTGCTTGATATAATCTACTCAGCCCTTGACAAAAATGAGTTTCCGATGACCTGAAAAAGGCCTTTGATTCTGTTATCCATAACTACCTCTTACTTAGACTCCTCCATTATGGAATCCGAGGCCTTGCCCTGAACTACATCCGATCCTACCTTAGTGACAGACACCAATATGTAGCCATTAATGATATAACCTCTCCCACTCTACCACTAACCGTAGGGTTCCACAGGGCAGCATCCTAGGACCTCTCCTATTTCTTTATTTACATCAATGATCTGCCTAATGTCTCTAACATTCTTAAACCCATATTGTTTGCTGACGATACTACCCTCATCTACTTAGACCCCAACCCCTAACTCACAACCCCCCACAACCCAACAATGGACCCCAACCCACAAATATTAAATAATGTTGTAAATAACGAAATAAAAAAAAATCCACTTATGGATATCAACCAACAAACTCACACTAAACTTAAAAAAGACCTACTTCATCTTATTTGGAAGCTAATCAGCAAATGCAATTCAGCTTCAGATAGACATCAACAATAAAAATTGTCGAAAGTTCCTTGGCCTATACTTAGACAAGAGACTCAATTTCAGCACACACATACAACACATAACTAAGAAAGTCTCTAAAAGAGTTGGTATACTCTCTAAAATCAGATTTGATGTACCTAACTCTGTTCTCCTCTCACTATATTATGCACTAATCTGTCCCTATCCTACTTATAGTATCTGTGTATGACGTTCAACCACTACAAACTACCTCAAGTCCATCATCACCCAGCAAAAATCTGCCATCAGAACAATAACAAACTTTGCTTTCAGATAACACTCAGCTCCCTAAACCCCCTAAACATGCTGAACATAAGCTCACTCCACACATTCTCTTGTAACATCTATATTTGCAAAACCCTGTTCTTAAATGCAATCCCCCCCCCCCCCCCGCCGTGGTGTTGGGGGTTAAGGCGCTCGCCTGGCGTTCCGCGAGAGCTTTGTCCTGGGTTCGTATCCTGGCCGGGGAGGATTTACTAGGTGCAAATCCTTAACTGTAGCCTGTGTGCAGTACTCTCTCAACAGTAAAATGGGTACCTGGTTGTTAAACTATTCTTCGCGGGAGTCGTATTCCAGGGAACATAGGATTAAGAACTTGCCCGAAATGCTACACGTACTAGTGGCTGTACAAGAATGTAATAACTCTTGTGTACATGAAAAAAAAACCCTGTTCTGAAACTCTTCCTGGACAGATATAATAGGACCCATAATCACTACACCAGAAATAAATATCCCTTTGATATCTCCGGAGTGAAACTTATTCTGTGTAAACACTCTATGCAAATAAAGAGACCTAGTCTAAGTAACCCACTCCCTAACGAATTGAAAAGTTGTCCAACTTTTGCCTTATTCAAAAACAAAAACAAAAAGTACCTAATTTCATCCTCATTGTTTCCTACCTGGTGCTTTAAACTCACACTGTGTCTTGTGCTACTCAATCCCCAAATATATGTACCTAAGCCATACAACTTTACCATTGTAATCATTGATATCATCTCATATCATGGTTGTTATATTGAACACATATTGTGTGGTACCCAATCTCCTAATATATATGTATGTAGCTAAGCCATATCACTTTACCATTGTGATCATTGCTGTCTTCTTATGTGTGATATCAATGTGTCTACTAATCTTTGTCAAATTTTATAACGATGTACCTGTTAACATTTTGTCAATTTTGCTAGAAATTACCTACTTAAAATTATCTGTTATATTAAGGACCAGCTCGAAACGCTGTGCGTACTAGTGGCTTTACAAGAATGTAAACACATCCACACATCATGCTATGTACCTTCATAAACCCAATGTACCTTCTTGTATAAATATGTATGTATAAAAGTATATATATTTATAAATAAATAAATAAATAAATACATATCACCGAACCCCTTGAGGAAGAGAGAGAAAAATAAGTACGCTCAACAATACCATTAACACAGTTATCATCAACACCATTAACACAGTTATCATCAACATCATCACTATCATCAACGCCATTAACAGTGTTATCATCAACATCATCACTATCATCATCATCATCACTATCATCAACGCCATTAACACAGTTATCATCAACAGAGTGTCAAGATGTACCTCCGGCCGCCTGGGGACCAAGACGAAGTTCTGGCCAGGCTTCGTGGCCCGCTGGCCGCTGACGACCCTCGAGTCCTGGACATATTAGGTCGCCATTACCTGACTCCGCCATCCACCAGGCCCTACAACCTGTCCACCGATCCCCTCTACAAGAAAGTGCTCTTAAGTGAATACCCCAAGTTTCTTTTAACCAATATAGAGAAACTATTTGGCGACCAACATGGCGGGTTCTTTGTAGAAGCTGGAGCCTATGATGGTGAAAGGGCTTCAAACACCCTCCGCCTTGAAAAGGAGTTGGGTTGGGCAGGTCTGCTGATCGAGCCCAACCATGAGAGCTACAGTAAGCTGACGACGAAGCATCGCAAGGCGTGGACCTCCAACACCTGCTTGTCGACGGAGAACTACCCGAAGGAGCAGGTGTTGGTCTCCCTCGTCAAAAGACTAAAGAGTGTAATGTCAATACAGGAAAAGATGCTCGCTAACCGTCATAGTGCTTCCTATCTCCTCGGCGTCAAACTCAACAACACCATCTACGACAGTTTTATTGACACATCAGACAAGTCTTATTCTGTGGTGCAGTGCTTCCCTCTGGCGTCCTACCTGTTGGCCCTCAAGGTGTCCACAGTGGACTTTCTCTCCCTGGACATCCAAGGGGCGGAGAAAAGTGTCCTCAAGAATTTTCCCTGGGACAGAATCACAATCCGCGCCATGGTGGTCGAGGAAGTCCACTTCAAGGATTTCAACCACCAGTTTGTCGACGACATGAAGAACAGAGGGTTCGTGTTGGTCGCCAAGGAAGGCATTGACTATATATTTGTGAAGGAAAATGACCCACTCATTAAGAAATTCAACTCGGCACCAATTACCCACTAAAATTTAAGCTAACCAAAAAATGTATATGCAAATTAAAATACGTGATTATGAATTTTTATCAGTCTTTCGGATCCTTCAATATATATTATTTTTACATTAATTATTAAAAAATAGATGCAATTTTTTTATAAATGAAAAAATAAAACACTTGCATGTAATAATCAATTATTGTAAATATAAAAAAAGGTAAGGGAGTACCACATCTGGCTGGAAGACGGGGACCCTTAGCCTCGGAGGAAACCACACATAACGCATTAGAGGGAATGTTTAGGTCCCCTCCAATATAATTTCTGTGTTCTTTTATCCTTCCACCCTCTTCCTTGTGTGTGTTTTTCTTTGTTCTTTATTATGTATTAAAGGTTAAAAGATATACATTGATTGATTCAAAAAGTGCAAAGAGGTTATGGATCTCTTGAAGCTCCTCCGCTTCCGGACAGCAACCGAGGATGCAGCAGGCATTTCCCCTCTGGATCGCCACACTGAGGCGCTGAAAGAAAAAACTGGCAGCCCATGGGTCTCTGGTGACGTCAATGAGCTTGGAGTCCAATTCCCTGAGAAATCCCAAGGCACTCCTACCCCAGGGGCCATACCTCTCAGATGCTATGGGAACAAAGGTGTATTGACCTTCCAATCGCCTGTATTTGACTGATTTTGCTATTTCCCTGTGGTTTGCCGCCCCACCTGCTTGATCAGCACCGAAGTGTACGTAGGTATCAGCCAGGGTGGATACACATGTGTAGTCCCACACCAACTGTTTGCCCCTTTTCCAAGGGTATATAGTGATGCTATCAAAGCGAAGTGCGGGGTCATCCGGTTTTTTTCCCCTAGGATGCGAGGTTCTCTCTATCTGCTGGGCATTGAGCTGAGACGAGGCTCCTCATGATGACGTCATTGACCTCGTTGTGTCTTGCATGCCAGCTCTTTGTGCTTCCGCAATGCAACCCCATGCAGTACATATTGGTCTGCTTCCATCCTGTTGTAAATACACTTGTATTCAATGTGAATTGGGGCACCAAGGCGGAGGGTCACTGCTAGACGAAGGGATTCTGGATCTAGGCGCGTGCCCATTGCCGACATGGGTACTGCCAGGAGGAAGTCTCCTGCATGGGGGGCACGCACTGCTCTGAGGCGGGCTTTCTCCTTTTCTGATGTTGCGACGCTGAGCATGGCATCAGCTACTTTTTCCACTAGAGGGTGGTCCCAGCTGGACTGTTTATGTTTTTTTGTTGGCTCTATAATGGGTGCAGGGGCAACAAGAGCATCCCCCTGATTTGAACATTCAGTGAAAGCAGAATCGTGTATTCCTGCTGAATCACTCAGGGGTTCTGGTAGGATATCTCTTACGAGGTGCAATGCATGGGAGGAGGATAGGAAGGCTGGTAAGCAATCTGGGAGGGTCCGTCTAATTACCCAAAGCTACCCCAAACTACACAAGCTTCACAAAGCTTTTGGCATTACGTTAGTAATAAATAGATATGATATATTTACTCATTATAAAGTTGGTGCTGATTGTACAACACGAAAAAAAACTTAATTTTAATCTGAAAAAGTATGTTTTTATAAAGAAATTACACAAAAATAAAGAGCTGGTGACGCCAAAGCAAGTCGACGGTCCAAGCGGCAATGTTGTGGAGCGACTTATCCAAGACAGATTGTTGTGTTGCCTGGAGAGTGTTTGCTGGCATATCAGCCTCTTGTACACACGTCGCAATTCTCAGCTCAAATTGTCACAAATTGAAATAATGTTATAAACTACAAAAATGCATAGTTACAATAATATTTAGCATAAATTGCCTGAAAACATTTACGTTGTACTGAAAAATAGGTATCTGGAAGTGAAATTAACTCCATAGGACAATAGTTGTGTTATATAGATGCTGATGGCTGTTCGCTGGTATGCGCTCACTACTTGAACTACTATGTACTTATTTACGTATCCAGAGATTAGTTCAGAGTAAAACTATGTTTTCTTCCGAATTCTACATTACGTACCATCATTATAGTAGATACATTTGTCAAATTTATTCATTATTTGTATAATGCAATGAGGTTTTGGGGTACGATTGGGAAGGTATGGGTGGCTTTGGGAAAGTTCATGGACTCGCTATGTGATGGAGTGCGAAAAGATACTTGAATTCAGAGACAATTCTATAACCAATGTTCCAACGATGTGTAAATGTTTCATTCAAAATGATCTGCTACCAGAATTTTTAGCTAAATATCCCCAGTTTGCAACCTGTGGGCAGTAACTAAGTGATTATAACCTATCCAACGAATCACAGGCCCCCCAAAGTGCTCAGAAAGTTAAGGAGGTACCTAAGGGAATTTTGGTTGTGGGAGATTCCCAGGTGAGGTATTTAGACAGGACGTTTTGTGCCAGAGATAGGGGGAACAGGTTAAGGGTTTGCTATCCGGGAGCTGGAATTGGAGATATTGTTGACAACATGAAAGATATTATGACGGGAAATGGGAACAAACCCATTTGTATTAGTGCAGGGGGTGATGATGTTGGACGAGTTTGGAGTGAGGAACTGATACAGAAATTTAACAAAGCCATAGAATTAGCTAGGAGCAAGGGAGGAATCCCGATCATATGTGGCATTCTTCCAAGAAAGGGAGTGGGAAATGAATGGTTGTCGAGGGCACTTGGTGTCAATTGCCGGCTGGAAAGATATTGCAAATCAAATGCAATATCTTTCATAGACAACTGGGAACACTTCTATGGAAGAAATGAAATGTATGCTCGTGATGGGGTGCATCTATCGAGGGCTGGGGTTGTTGCTGTTGCAAACTCGTTGGAACCAGTGGTTAGAGGTGTTTGTTTGGGTTTAAACTGTTAGTAGATAGTGGTATGGGAATTGATAGGGAGGAAGGAGGTAATAAAAGTATGTATTCGTGGGAGAAAAAAATTGGCAAAATGATCAGGGAAAGAAAAGGGCCTCAAAATAACAACTCACTTAGGGTATATTACACTAACAGTAGAAGTCTAAGAAATAAAATTAATGAATTAAATGCTCTTGTCTGCACAGAAAAAATAGACATTATTGCACATACCGAAACGTGGATGAATGTAGAAAATAGAGAACTATTAGCTGAATATCAAATAAATGGATTTAAACTATTTCACACAGATAAATGTATTAGACGAGGAGGGGGAGTAGCCATATATGTCAGGGACAATTTGAAATGTAGTCTCAAAGAGGGAATCAAAACTGAGCCACACACAGAAACTATTTGCATAGAATTAAACGAAAAAGCAAATAATATTATAATAGGAGTTATATATAGCCACCAAATTTAGACAGAATGGAAGCAAAGCATCTATGGGATGAAATATCTAGAGCATCTAGATCTAACAGAATATATGTCATGGGTGACTTTAACTTTAGTGGAATAAACTGGTTGAACAAAACAGGGAATAGTGAAGCAGAAGATTTTCTAGAATTAATTGACGATTGCTTTCTTACGCAACACATTAAGGAACCAACGCGGGTAAATAATATTTTAGATTTAGTGTTAACTAACAGGGAAACACAAATTAATGACATCGAAATAGGGAGTGAGCTAGGGAACAGTGATCACAAAGAAATCAGATTTAGCATAGAATGGAATAGACCTGTAGGAGAAAATTCTGTTAAAGTGCCAGATTTTCGAAAAGCTGATTTGAATAGCTTAAGAAATTTTTTGGGTCAAATAGATTGGAAAGTCTTGGGTATGGGGTGTGGGCCGGTCTTGGAGCGAGACATGAACCCAGCGACAGGTGACGTAAAAGTGGATTTCGATGTGGATTTAATATATATATCTTATTTAGGAATATTCTAAACAAAGCACAGGAACGTAGTATTCCATACAAATTGAATAGATCGAATACTAATGACCCAAAGTGGATAACAAATAATTTAAAGAACCTTATAGGTAAAAAGAGAGCTTGGTACAAAAGGATTAAAAATGGGAAAGTCAGTTTAGAACAGGAATTCGTACAACTGGTTAGAAATGTTAAAAAAGAGATTAGGAAAGCAAAAAGAAACTATGAAGTTCGCATAGCAGAGCAAGCAAAGTTAAATCCTAAAGGGTTTTTTCAGTTATATCGAACTAAGACTAGGGAAAGGATAGGTCCATTAAAATCTGAGACAGGTCAAATAACGGATAATGACAAGGAGATGAGTAGTATTTTTAACAAATATTTTATATCCGTATTTACTAAAGAAGAACTTAACAATATGCCTTCAGGCGAACAAGTCTATGTGGGTGGGGATGAGGACAGGTTGACTAGTTTAGCAGTTACCAGGGAGGATGTAATTAAACAATTAGTAAAGCTAAAACCAAACAAATCCCCAGGGCCGGATGAAGTGTTTGCCAGGGTGCTTAAAGAATGCAAAGAGGAGCTTTCCGAGCCACTGTCTACCATATTTAATAAATCAATAGAGTTAGGCAGAGTGCCAGAGTCATGGAAGGTAGCTAATGTGGTACCAATTTTAAAGAAAGGAGATAGATCACTTGCGTCAAACTATCGATCAATTAGCCTAACGCCTATTGTGGAAAAGTTACCTGAATCAATAATTGCAAATACAATTCGTCTCCATCTTTAAAAACATAAATAATAAATGAGTCGCAACATGGTTTTACCAATGGCCGTTCATGTTTAACAAATTTGCTAACTTTTTATTCCAGCATAGTTGAAGCAGTTGATAGTGGTAAGGATTGTGATGTTGTGTACCTTGACTTTAGCAAAGCTTTTGATACAGTACCACATGAAAGACTAATTAAAAAAATAGAAGCTCATGGTATTGGGGGTGCTATATTAACTTGGATTAGGGCATGGCTATTCCAAAGGAAACAGAGAGTTAGTATAAATGGGGTAAAGTCAGAGTGGGATAATGTTGTTAGTGGAGTACCTCAGGGCTCTGTCCTGGGACCTCTGTTGTTTATAATATATATATAAATGATTTAGATTCAGGTTTGAGTAGCAACATCTGCAAATTTGCAGATGATACAAAAATCG